AACAAAAAAAAAAAAAAAAGGAAACAAAACAGTAAGAAAGAGGGAGAAAAAGAAACATGACGTCAGTTGGCGGAAGTCAATTGGCGCATCGTGCAGACACGAGAGTTGATTCTACACGCGAGTAGCCTTCCTCGCCTTCTCCTTCGCCCCACGATATTAAGTTTAGCTGCTTCGGCCTGACGCGGGCAGTGTGTCAAGATCACTCGATCCGCTGTTGATATCGATCCCTCTGTATCTGCCTGTTCCTCTCCGTTTATTCTCTCGTTTTGCTGAGTGAAGGAGAGAGAGGTGCGCTCCAAGTGTCGCTCGCAAAGTGCTGGCAGATTCGCGTGTAGGAGAAGTTGGATCCGGAAATCGAAGAGAGACAAGAGGGTTACTTCGAGTGTCGTTCGAGAGTTGCACGGTAGGCTGATATAGGCTGTCCCATACCTTTCATCTTTCAAATCGATGGCTCGATCCTTTGAAGGATGCTGGAGTAGTTCGCGGACAGAGTGACGATAGATAGTTGTTTGAGATTTTCAAAGAGTGCTGGACTGACTTTCTTTTTTGGGAATAAGTAGTAGATGGTTGTTATAGTGAATAAAGAGGAATATACATGTTACTTCTTGCGCAAGTGGATTCTGAGAATGGTACTGTTTGATGTGTACATGCTTGCTCAACTTTGAGCGATATATAGGATCCTTGGAATTTCATAATCAATTTTTCGATCTATTTTTATGAAAAAAAGATCTGTCTTTTAAAAAATAATTTATGTATATAAATTAAAATAGAATTGTTTTTGTAAAATATTACTTTTTGTTACGTTAAAATATTAATATCTTTTTTTTTCGGGTGATATAGTTTTGATACTCAATAGTTTTTCTCTTACTAATATTATGATATTGCATCAAAGAACCTCTTCCATGTAAAAAAAAAAACACGAGACCTCGCATATATAAGTATATTGAAAGTTTTCCGAATCAGAATTTTACTTCCTACTTCTTTTACTTCAATTTTTTTACTTCCTATTTCTTTTACTTCAATTTTCAATTTAACATCTATTTTAATATATTGGGGAGTTAGATCAATCTCTTTCGATATTACTTATGTTAGTATGCAGCTTCTGTTTAGAACTGCAAAATTTTATTGAATTAGAATTTAATAAAAAAGAAAATTATATATATATATATAATCTTCTTTTTTTAAATCTCTTTTAATATTATTGAAAACCTAGAACACAACCTCTGCGTTTTAATCTCTCATTACAAATTCTTATTGCAATTTTCGATTATATAATTAATATAAAAATTTAAATATGTACTATTGACAAAGAAGATTTATTGAGAAAACGAAATATTTAATTTAAAAAATGTAATACTTTAATAATTATTTTAACAGTAATTAAAAATATTGATATTGTATAATGTATTTTTTTCCTCTTTCCTTTCTCTCTTTCTGTCTCTCTTTGCGTATGTGTTTTCTCAGTTTTTGGTGTTTTTTAATTCCTTTGCGTTTAATGCTATGTGACATGTTATCATGATTATTTTATTTTTCCATTACGGATTGGATATAAAGCCTGTAAAGCACGGCTGCTATAATATCAAAAGTTTAATATTTGTTTTTATTAGTTAATTTTCAAAGATTTGAGGAGTACATCTCAGTTTTTTATTTGATTATATTAGATTTATTTGATTAATTATATTTTTAAGTCATATGTTTATTTCGCCCGATTACTCTTGTAATTCGAGATCGTTTTTCTTTTTATTTATAATAACAATGTCACGCCGTTTGCTGTTTGTATGTACTTATTGTTATTGGCTCTTTTGTTTTTTCTCATCACCTGTTATGCTCACCATCTATCATTAGTACGTTGATAATCGTTTCTGCGACAATGCTCTTATTTTCATGTTAGTAATGTTCATGTTAGTAACCGACTAAACCCATGCGACCGTAAACCTATGTAATAAGTTTAATTTATGCTGAAGATGGCCTAAAAAAAGAGGCCAAAACGTCTATAAATGTAGAGAATATTACATAATAAAAAACTGTTTGCGCTCCAACTACCGCGCCTGGCTCTGATTGCCATTTTCTTCCAATTAATTTAAGTTAATTTTATTACATTGTTTCCCAAAACTTACAATATTAAATTGATTTATTGAAACCAGATAAACGACTAGAGATTGCTAATATTTTTTTCTCTCTAATATTAAAAATCCTAATATTAAATAAGAAATCTATTGTGGATTATAGATAATTTTACGATAATACGGAATCCATAATTAAAATTTGGAAAATTTTTGTTGGGTCTGAACAGAATTTTCAGTTCTATCGAAAAAAATCTCTAAGTAAAAAATTGACCATTTAATGCCTATTTGAAGGGTGAACTTAATTTCCCACATAAAAATTAAATCTATCGAAATTCTTCAGAATTCATAAATATTGGAGATATCGAAAATAAGAGCGACATTTCGATTCGGATGAAGAGATTAAAGGATTTGACTAACGCAAGCCAAGTAAGTCACAGTGCTCGACTGAGGTGGAATAACGAGGAAACCCTTCGTTTGATTGCAGGAGGATGCAGCCACGGGTGACAGTGGCTCTGGCCACGGTTTGGTTCACGGTGGCGGGTCTGGTAGGAGAAACGGTCGCCCTCCGCCTCTCCAACGATCAATACTCCCCCGCGTCCCCGCATCGCTACGCTGAGCTTCAACAAGACCAGACTAGAGATTGGAGGGCTCACGACAGACCGGCCGAGGATCAACCGCTCGACCTTTGGATCGGCTCGCGAAGGTCCATTTCCGCGGAGGGTATGTCAGAGTTTATAGTATTACGTCTCGCTGTGAGTAGAATAAAGCATCATATCACGTTCCACTGTTAATACAAAGAGCTACGTCGAATGCAAAATTGCCATTTTGAGGATATTTCAGGAGGAGTGTAGTATAAATCTTTTGTTTATTTTTCTTTTTCCTCTTTTATATGGTTAAATATGCGAAAAAAGTGTATAATTATGTTATTTTTAAACATTAATTTTACTTTATCAAAATATTCAATTTACTTATGTTCTTTTGTCTCGTTATATTTTAAGGAAATATCGAAGCAAAAGAGTTTTCATTTTTATATAGTAATTTTAATTTATTAATATTATCTGTTTCTTTATCCTTAAATATTTTTCCTGAAAATAATATTTCTCTGCAATATATGTATATTGTCACTCTCGATTAATATTTAAATTATGAAATATATGCTTTTCAATAACGTATCTGGCACAAACAATATCGAATAAAGAAATGTGCTTCCAATATTTTATTATTTAAATTTAGTGTTGTACTTGGCACTTTCGTCTCTACTTACTAGGCGAATATATAGCGCTCTAGTTAAACTAGCTTCCGTTACGTCAGCGATTTAATTCTGTCGAAACGTTTAATGGAGACGAAATATACGCGTCGTGTCGAAACGCGTCGAACGAAGCTCAACTTAACCGGTAGAAGTCCGTTCGCCTCCTTTTTCTTGGCTTTCCTGATTAATTAAGACTTCCTTAATCGTTACCTTTCTGCAATTTCAATATCGAACAAATACCGCCTACGATTGTTAAAAGTTCGAATTTTTAACCTGCATTTATCAACCCAAATCTTTAATATTATTATTATTATTATTATATCATTATTATTTAATTTTTATTTCACGTTAGATATGATGATAAAATCGGTATGCATTTTTCTGCTCGTATATTTTATAAATCGGAAATATATGTCAAAAATATATTTCTATTAACCCATGTTACATTATTATTACTTTTATTAATATAACGGTAATTCTAAAGAGAAAAATTTTTTGAAATATAAAAATATTTAATAATATAATAATA